TTCCCCCCCCCCCCCCGCTTGCGGGGGGGTCAGGGGGGGATCCGCGCCAAGGGAGGACTTGGAAAGTGGGTGAAACGGTGCACAAACAGACTGTTTGAGTGCGGCCTTCAGAGCCTTCTTTTCAATGCTCCGTCTCACTCGGTTTCCACTAACTCGAGGTGAATTTTCGGCATTTCTTGAATTCGGGAACCAGACCTAATATTATCCAAAACGCCCATTTACTATAATTATAATTATAAAATTATAAAATATAGTAAATAAATTCTATATTTAGACGGGGTGAGGGTGGGAAAGGTCTGCCCCTGTTTAGTTTATAATATTCATTTTAGCTATTATTATACTATCTGAATTTTTAAACTATATTCATATTACATTGATAGTAAAAACAAATATTATAATCACAACACGTTTTTTAAAAAAATGATTTGTCATTATAATATTATAACGTTATAATGATGTCAAAGTTGAACATAAAATTAGTTTGGAAACGTTATTTATTTCATTATACTTATTCATTATTAGAGTTGTTAAATTAAAAGTAAATTAACCAAACTTATGGGAAATAATAATTAGAAACAAAAAAATATAATTAATATAACTATTCCAAAACTAAATAACCAATAACACGACCAATGACATAAATAAGGTTAAGACCATTGGACCAACCATTTTTAAACTTCTAAAAGTTTATAAATACAGTTGATTTGGTTATAAATATGAAAAACACTTAAAACACTGCCGACGAACCGAGACAATGGTTTTAAAGTTGTTTCGAAATTATTGAGTTAATAAAATGGTTGTCTGAAACTCTATTAGTCTTCTTTATCGACTCTCCCACATATTTTATTTCTTTGATTTTTGTTGTTTTAATTTCAGTCATTTTTTGTTTGATTCATTGTTGTATTCGCTCGTTTAAAGCGTGTTCGTTAACACGTTTCAAATATATCATCATCGCTGTTTTTTGTTTATGTCGTGTACTAAATAAATGGTTTTATTCGTTGATGTAAAAAGCGTTGTTTCTATGTTTTTAGAGTGAATTGTTGACAATAGAATTAATTATTTTTTGTCTTTGCATGTAATTATTAGTAGTTAAAAATATCAACCATATATAATCGATAAATAATATTAACAAAATAAATAAGGTTTTTAAACAAACTTTAGACGTTTATTTTAAAACCCCATAATTAACAATTTATTAATATGTTTAACGTAAAATGATATTTAAATTGAAGTTTCAACTGTTTCCAAATAACAGTGTTATTATTGACACGTGTCATTTATTAACAGTCAGAATGTCGTTTTTAAACGTTTTGTAATTTATCTATTCACAAAACACACAAAAAACACACATTGTTTTTTGAGTTTGTTTTAAACATTATTAGTTACTTCATTATTATAAAACATTTATCACCATTAGAATTGTTTTTTTTAATTGTAACATTTTGCAAATAAAAGCTTTAGTTGATAAAAATGTACTTTTTGAGTTGTGTTGGGTGTAATTGTTGTTAACCTTATTTCTAAATAGCCGAATTGTATCTCATTGTATAAATTTTTGTTTTCTATAATAGTTCTTGAAGTACTATATTTACTTTTGAAATACGATAAAAGTGTGCTTGAATAATAAACAAGCATGTTCAGTCTAATATTTTTAATTTATAAATACAAAACATGTTGTTTTTATATTTCAACATTTTAAAAAAATTAAAAAAAACAACAAAAATTTATTTTGAATTACACAATTTTCAAATAAAAAACGAGTCTCATTAGAAACATTAATTATATCGATAGGTTAAGTTATAAAAAATAATCAGAAAAGATAATACTTTATTTATCAAAATATTTGTAATTTATTAAAAACACCATTTTTGAAAAAATATTTCATATTTTATAACGATCTTTATTAATAAAAACAAGATAAAAAAGAATGAACAACGAAATTGCAAAAGTAGCATTGATTGGTCCTTCGGACGTTGGGAAAACTGTATTATTAAATTGCTTTTTTAAAGAAATTACATATGACACAAATCCAAGTATTGGTTGTTCTTATTGGGTTTGTTGTTTAGAACACAACATAAATAAATCATTTAATAACAAAAAAAAATAAAAAAAATTTAATTGATCGAAAATATGTTAAAGCTGAATTATGGGATACATGTTTGTCATTTTTTGTTCTATTTTTAAATGAATAACAAAAAGCCGGAAATGACCGTTGTAAAAAT